ATAATGCATGAGTCAATTCCAGGAGTAACCATCCCCCCCCCCCCGGGAACACACCCGGGAATTTGATTAGATTGGTTATGACAGTGTAAATGCCCGGGTGCCGGGACACAACTTGAAGACTAATGCACGGCCCCAGGGCAAGCTGAGAGTGGAAAATGCCCCACCCCGGGGACGATTTTACAGTCGATTTCACGAAACTTTGACCACAAATGTTCGGAACTTCGTTGCGAAGTTCGCAAGTTCGTTCGTTGTGAAGTTCGGAAGCTCATATTGGAATTCACAAGCCAATTTGTAAAAAAAGTACCTGATTGATCCGTGAAGTAAAATAAGCCAATCAAATGCGTAGTTTACGAACTGGTTTGTGAATCTCATTATGAACTTTCGAACTTCGCAACAATCTTGTGAACTTCGCAACGAAGTTCGGAAATTTTGTGGTCAAAGTTTCGTGAAATCGACTGTAAACGTTAATTAAACTTTTAAAGGCATATAATCATAGTCATTTAATAACATTATAGTATTAAACTGCTATGGAATATTATAAAACATAAACCTTTAGTAGTTGTATTTAAATTTGCATGGCAGAAGGTATAATTTTCGCTTATTCTTACAATAAATTTCACGCCACCTTGACCACGAGGGCGCAAACCACGATCAGCGCGCCCACATGCTTGCCTGAAACTAGGTTTTGCTGCCTTAAAATTTGTGGGTGGGATTCTGGGCAACCATTTGTCAAATCCCCGGGGTCCTCCAATACCCGGCCCCCGTGCACATATATGAAAGGCAAATTCCCGACCCCCGTGAACTGTCTATCGGGCAAATGCCCGGGGGTGGGATGGTTACTCCAGGAATTGACTCATGCATAATGTGTAAGTGTACAGTGCTAATTCTCATTATGTAAGCCATCTTGGAAAAAACCCTAAATATATACATGTAGTTGCTTTAAGAGCAACTTTCGAAAGTAAAACTGAGTAAACACATACCCAACTTATGTTTCCCTGTTTTTGTCCCAAGAGGGTTTGTTATTTCAACTTCGTCATAATAAAGCATCAACTGCAATGCATTCGGGACAGTGGAGAACAAAGGGTGAGTTTTAAAAGCCTGGCAATCACAGAAGTCTTCAAATTTACCATCATTTCGCTGATGAGGGTTATTGACCTATTTGAATAAAATGAAAGAGAATGATAAAGGAATTGCTTAGTTGTGGTATATAATAAGCTACTATTTTTACCATATATTCTGTCCTATCTTTAATATGGGTACCATATATAAATTATTAAGGTACATGTAATTCTACATTTGAAATGACACAAGCCAAAATTAGCCATTACTTAAACTTACCGCATGCAAAATAGATTCATTATTGAGCATTAGTTGTAGGGATTCAAGTATTGGGACATACATCATTTCATCATTCTTCAACACTTGTCTTTGCTTTATACCCCTGCACCTTCGAACGGTTGTATGACCAAGTGTGATACGTCTTGGTTCCTATATAAAATCATCAATGCCAACATCTTATCAATATCACACAGGGTCGTTCCAGAAAAGTTAGATCTGTACCCTCTATGGAGGAAATGCCCCCCTCCTTTCTTCAGACATCCATAGATATACTCCCTCTCCCCCTGGGCATCTAAGTAAAAATATAAAGTAGCATAATATTTTTACAGATAATTTTAAAATTCACTAAGACTCTTACCACAAGGCCCAAATTTTCTTTGTAGTAGTTACACTGTTTGTTCTGTGTATTCACATGTGTGAAGGGATTTGAAAGCGGATTTTCAGTCTCAAATAACCCGCTCAATCCTGGAACATCATCAAAATTTAATCCGACACTGTCCAGCTTGTCTTGGACTCCCATCTTAACCAATTCAACTGTGTCTTGTATAAGACTCATCACATTCTCTGCTATGTCTTCAGAAGCCTTTTGGGTAAGGCGATTGCATTCTTTTGTTTGAAGCAAGAACCGAGCATTTCGTTTTTTCATTTCAACGAGACCATCTTCGAAGTCTTCGAAATTTCTTTCTTCATTGTTGATCGGATCATGAGGATTATCCAACTCCATATTTCCGATTTCATCTTCATTTAACTGTTCGCCTATTACATCCCAAACACGTACATCTGCATGCATGTCAAATTCTTGATGGTTTTGTCGAAGATGTGTTTGATACGACCGTGCATTTCCAAACGTGCGTTGGCATCCAGGTACATCACATTTTACATTAAAACGTTGGTCAGTACTATGAACTCTTATAAGATGACTCTGCATAGAAGCAATAGTCCGAGTGTAAAAAGCTGGACATATTTGACATTTAAGATTTTCCATATGAAAACTATTTCACATGTCTTGAAGTTAAATGTAATTTTAATTTCGTCAGTGGTTTCGTCTTTGATGTGACGGAATAAAAATACGCGCGTTCCTCGAACCAGACCAGCGATTCATTTGCCGCCGCTATTTTTTTCCAGCATTTTCAGTTTCCCGCTTAAGTTCAGCTACGGACCAATCACAATACGCTAAACTGCAAGTCAAACGTTAGGCTTGGATTCAGCAAGGTGAATGATTTTTATATGGCTTAAAAATATATTTTTCGAGTCTTTTGACAAGTTAAACTAAAAGAAAACAAGATGACCGAAAATTCAATTAATTTAAATTCGTCAGTAGATGATGTGGTTGACTTTCTTGAAGAAGCGGGCCTCGGAGAACTCAAGGCAAAGTTTCAAGGTGATATAACTATAAGTTTTTTTAATACACATTTTTTTTTTCAAGAAAAATGTTTGAAATTGTATTGTATTCAGCGTTTGAAATTTGTTCAACATTGCCAGAATATAGCATCTTGTAGCAGCTAGCAAAGTATATATGATTTATAGTAAGGCAAATAATTTAAATGTGTTATATTTTTCTCTGCTTTCAGAATGTGAAGTCGATGGCAACACTTTTATCAACATGGACCTCGTAGACTTAAATGCACTGACTCCTAAGCTGAAGCTTCGAAGAATCCTTAGAAATAAGTGGACCGAAATCACCGGAATGGTTAGTTTTTTTCTTGTGGAACAAGCTACAAAGTTTACTCGTAAAACACAAATTATTGTATTAAAAGACAGTTCAAATAGAGCAGCAAATTTTCTTACAGTATATAGGTCGAAGTCCAGTCTCGCAGGTCCACTGGAACGACCGCTAAGCAGTCACACTATGTTCACGTGCACAAAAAATGCACAAAATGAGCACAATAATACAATATGTACTAGATGACTCGATACAATATATATATTAAATATATAGTACTAACTATCATGTTTGTATTTTAGAAGTTTAGCGCGGAAGGAGAAAAACTCCCTCAGCCGGGTAAATTGTCTGATTCGCTTTCTCTTGGCCCGGCTTTGGCATTTGGAACTCCTGAATGTTCGCGTCCTGCACAGTCAGGATCGAGATCAGGATTACATGATACCCCATTAGTGGCCCCATCCTTGACCCCATCAGCTTGCAACGAGGAGGGAGAAAGCAGTCCGAGCACCAACACCGATGCTCATATTGGTTCATCAATTAAACGTAAATCGAGCGTGGATGGGAGGTGTGTTTCTTCGTCAAAAAAACGTGTCTGCTTGTTTGACTCAAAGGTAAATTTTTAGTGACTAAATAAATATCGATACAAGTATCTTCTGACCTCTATATTTAGTGACACTCAAACTACTTTTGAAATTTTATCTAGAACAAAGACGTGGAACATACTCGTAGTTCAAATGGCGAATATACGTACTGGCTAGAAAAATTTGAGATTCCTTCAAAGGTACCGTAATAAAGGAATACCGAATGGTTTTCCGTGCAGGATTGCGTGATCCGTGCACGAGGGATGTTGCGAGACTTTCGGAAAGCGTAAAAATACACGAGCCGTAGGCGAGTGTATTTTTACGCTTTCCGAAAGTCGAGCAACATCCCAAGTACATGGATCATGCTATCCTGCACGGGAAAACCATTTGGTAATTGTTTTATAAAATTACTACAGTGAAACGACGTTTAACTTGATTAAAATTACTGATGAAATGTGCAGTTCTCACAACATTCGTGAATTAACCAATCAGAGAATCGCTAATCCACGCTATTGAAAACAACAACATATGTGAACAGAATTTGATCGCAAATTCGCGAAAGTATACAGCGAAAATACAGGGACTTTTTCGATAAAATATACGAAATTTGAAATGGGAAACCCGCTAAACAGACAGTCAAAGTAGTAGTGATAATTCTCTAGCTGAATATGTGAAGATTGCGAAGCGTTTGATCAACTTTGAAGCGAGAGATGTTGTACTTGCATGCCATGGTCTGATGAATTTCAACGCTTACGCGTTGCTACTTGCTGAATAGCAATGTATCGATCAGAAATTTATTCATACAACTAAACCAACGTCTCAATAATTGGAAACTTACTTCAAAGTCGAAAGGTATCGTACAATGAAACTTTACAATGCGAGTATATTTGTAAAATTATATGCAATAATTTCTGTTCAGAATTTCCCGTGCAGGATTGTCTGATCCTGCACGGCTGTTGACCAATCAAATTGCCGTGTTTCACTGTAGTTACTATATAATACTGTTTACTGTTATATAAATAACACGATATTCTATGGCATGTAGTAAAACACTGACTACCGGAACACCGGAACACCACCATTTTGTTTGGGGTTAGGGTTTGGGGTTGGGGGTTAGGGTTAGGTGGTGTTGCGGTGGTGTTCCGGTGTTCCGGTAGTCAGTGTTTTACTACATGCCATATTCTATATAGCTATAAAGTGTTCGATTTTGGTTTTCTGAAGGTTTTTTGTTTCTAAATTTGAATTTGATTCAAGCGAATTTGAATTTGTATGGCAAATTTGAATTTGATGTGAGCGAATTTGATTTTGATATGAGCGAATTTGAATTTTATGTGGCGAAGTAATTTGATGCAGACACTTGCCGGCCATTCATTGGTCAATAAATATAGCTCTTATGATCCTATTACATAATATTTCGTAATAATTATATAACTAAGTATATAATTACGAAATATGCTTTGAGCCCGTTGTTCAAACATCTATTGATGATATATATGTTTGTTAAACAAACAACAGAATTGCAGCATTGCAGGTACGCACAATTAAATAGTACAAAATAGCAATTTCGTATATTAACTATGCATGTATTTTAATGCACAGACGTCTGAACTTAATGTATGAGTCAATTCCAGCGGTAACCATCCCCCCCCCAGGAATACCCTTGGACATTGTCAATTTTTTTAGAAGATAGGACAAATTCCCCGCCGTGGGACACAGTGTCCAGCGCAAATGCACCGCCCCCAGGCAATCATGATGCGGAAAATGTCAAACCCCAGGGAATTTATTCTCTGTCATTTTTGCACAAAATTGGCAAATTTCTATTATCAAAACCGCGGATACGTCCTCTCACGCAAAAAATTGGGCCCTATTTTTGTGTCGAAACATTCAGGAATGCGATTGCATTTCTTGACGCCTTGAAATTGATGTGTTTATATAATATCAACATCTGATTGGTCTGCAGGTAGTGGTGTTTACATTAGCTAATGTAGTTTGTTAACGGAATTACCTCTAGACCAATCAGATGCCGATATTCTATAAATATCGATTTCAATCCGTCAAGGAATGTGGTCGCATTCCTGAATGTTTTGGTTTTGACATGAACACGACGTGATTGGTAATAATATAAACTTGGAAATGTTTAATTACGTCGAATTTTTGCCGTCGGCTTCTAGCACAAAAACACTGCAAAACTGAATATAATTTAACAAACACAACATTTTAATGTAGTGTCATATTTTACAGTATCAACCGATAATTTGAAAAAAATAAAGAATAGAACATAATTTGGGCTTTTGGTATAATTGTATAATGTACGGCCCCCGGACAGCAATTTAATTGCAAATGCCCGACCCCCGGACACTTCCGGTTGAGCAAATGCCCAGCAGTGTCCCGGGGGATGGTTACCGCTGGAATTGACTCATGCATAATACATTTATATGGGCACCCATCCCCCCACTATCAAGAGCTCTGAATATCCAAATATAGGGGAGGAGGGGTGTTTCATCCCTATTTTATCTAGGGCTAGCCTGTTTGTTTTCCTCCAAATATTTCGCTGCAATTTTGAAAAATTCAACGATTTTTTTTTGGAGGGGGGGGGGCGAAAGCTATTGTGGCCCCCCACTTCCTACATCCCTGGGGCAACTTCCCAAAAATGCATCCAAGGGGGGTCCAGTTATCCTAACTAGGGTTACTAGTGGACCCCTCAATATGGAGAATGCCTATATTAAAAGGAATGGCCCACTATTAACCCTATTTGTACTGCGAGTGTACAAATGTGCACACTCCAATGAATTTACCGGTGGTGTATAATTTTTAATATTCTTACCAAAAAAGCAAAAAATATGATTATTATATTCAATTTACAGAATTTATGAGGGTGTATCCTGTCAGCTTCCCCTTCCCCGGTAAAATTAACCTCCAAAAATCCCGGTCCAAATAGGGTTAATGAGTATGAAATCATCTTTGATAGCCATTAAATGTTACTGCAAAAAAATAGTTGCCCCATTGAATCCTCATTGCCCCAACCACTACATTAATTATGAGCTCTTTCAAAGTTACTCTTCATGACTTGATATCTTATTCATATTTTTTTAATAATTATTTTTCACACTATTTGATCATACTCAATAGTAGGCCATTCTTTTTAATATTTATTTATTTAACTTTGCCATCTATGGCTGGGACACCGCAACAGCATTTCACCAATTACTGCGGACCCATTGTTAGTAGTGGATAGTACCTAGCGGTTACTCGCCGGTTAGTTATAAATTTATGAGGGAGGAAACCGGAGTACCCGGGAAGACCCTCGAAGCACAGGAGAGAACTAACCAATCTCAACTTACATAAGTGTAAGGAGCACACTGAGATATTCACTCACGACTCTCCTAGTGTCCCCAACTTGCCGTATAGCAGGCTTAACTCAGTGGTAAGAGGCAGTTTGCTAACTGCTCTACCACCCGTGCTTAGGCATTCTCCATATTGAAGGGTCCACTAGTAGCCCTAGTTAGGATAACCGGACTCCACTTGGATGCATTTTTGAGAAGTTGCCCCAGGGGTGTAGGAAGCTGGGTGGCCACCCCCCCCCCCCAATATTTTATATGGGGGGCCGGATAACTTTCAGCCCCCAAAAATCATTGAACTTTTCAAAATTGCAGAGAAGTATTTGGAGGAAAACAGACAGGCTAGCCCTATAGTTAAAATAGGGATGAATAGGGATGATGGCCCTATATTTGGATATTTAGAGCTCTTAATAGTGGGGGGAGGGGTGCCCATATTAAATGTATTAATCGCCCAATATTCTGTAATGTTCTGTAATGTTTTTAACAATTTGGAGACTCAAACGGAGAGCACATCATTGATCATTGATCACTGACTCTGAATCGCAACAATTTAGATTGTCTTTAAGGTTGTTTAGCATTTAAATTGCGTTATGTTTTACATGATTATCTTGCGAAATTTCCGTATTAAACTTTACGCATTATTCATTTTTGTGTGCTTATGCAAATCCGGTCAATGTTCAGGAACACAGATGCGACTTTATAAAGTCCTGTCACCATGTAGTAAACAGTAAAATATGCCAGCACGTTTATATATTTATTTGGCAATCGTGGTTGTCACCAAATTAAATAAATACAAGGACTATTCAATTACCCACCTCTCACTCCTGGACAGGAATATATGAGGGAGTTTGTTTCTTTTCTGAGTTGTAAAGCAACAATTTATACAGAACAATTAACTCATACCAAAGCTTCATAAATTTTATTGAGAACAAGTGTACTCATTGAGTCATATGACCTGCGGATTATGAGACGTATGACCATCTCAGAAATAAATAACATTCAGATATTTGTCAGTTCCAGTTTCTGAAAAGTACTGGCAACCATTATGTTATGCTCATTATCGCAAACAAATCTGATTAGCCTATGCGTGCAAGGATGTTAATTTAAGACATGTAATTTAGTTTAGCCTCAGTTTCTTATGATATATAGAAATACATATAGGTATTGGGTATGAAGTGTAATCCCTTGTACAGTATATCAACTATACTGTATACTTTACTGTATAGTTATCAGATCTGACCAAAATCCTTGTGACGAAGAAACCTTATTAATAGTAAAGCTGGATATTTTTCTTAGGCTTGGATACAAGTTCAGCAGAACATAAAAATGGACAGGTGTTCTGGTGCCAAAACAGTATATATTTATACATCCCGGAACTTATACTGAAAGTTTTTGAGACAGAAGTGAATAAGTTCTTAGGAACAGTGGCCAGTAGAAACTCATGTTGAAATATATCAATCAAGGCTTAAATTATTTCCTACAGTACATTTCATTAACAATAATAAATCCATCATATACAAACTGTTACTACTTACAAACTAACCCATGAATATGAATATAAAGTCCAGGTTGCAAACTGCAAAGCATATTTGAAGGAACAAACATATTATATGTATAATTGTTGTTATGCAGCAGTTGGCATGACAATGCATGTCCACAATTGCATCACTATAAAGGGTGTTGTTGTCCTCATATAAAATTGTAAATAATAGTGTATTTTTGTAACACAAGAGATTACAATATTTGTTGCATCTTGAGCTTTTCTGTTATTCATACAGCAACCAAAATCTTTTCTATGGCACGCGCTGGAACAAAAAAGCTGTTTAACATGCTTTTGCAAGGACAAGAACATGTTGTATATCGTCTACAAAATTGTACATATTTCGGCACTGCAGCTAAAACTTTCGATCACATATAATTCAAATTGGTCAAGAAAGAGGCTTTCTCAACTCTGGCAACATGTTTCGAAGCGAAGGAGAGATACCACATGAAACAAATGTAAACACTCGCACTTTCAGGATATTTTCGCCGCTCCAGTTGTTAAGTTTTGATCCATCGGCTCACACAATGTTCAAAGCGGCCTTGTTATTCCCAATTTTTAAATCAAAAGTCATATAAATAATTTAAAAGTATATACGAAATTCAGACGAAGTTGATTTATAAAACAAAGCACTCCTTTGTCTTTCATTGTTTCTCATGGGATTGCTTAATGAATTATGATATACTTCATGTAATATGATCAATGTGGATCAAAATGTAAACCTACCTTTAAACAACGGGCTCAAAGCATATTTCATAATTATATATTTAGTTTAATATATAATTGTTATGAAATATTACATAATAAGATCATAAGAGCTATATTTATTGACCAATGAATGACCGCCGCAATTCCTGTCGCTAGCTGCAAGTATTTGATGTAGAGAAACCATTTTCTGGGGGTTATGGATCCATTTCACTCCCATGACATGAAGTATTTACTATCATTCCCTATTGCGCTATTAAAAACTGGGATATTAACTCTGTTGTTTATGGTGGGGTTTCACTGTATTAAACTGCTTCATATATTTATTTCCTATGAAATTAATGAAAGTGGTGAACGTTTTAGTGTTCATTTTAGAGGCAAGCAACATGCATGCTTTCATTAGCAGTTTTAACAGAACACAATAGCCCAGATTGGTCAAAACAACATTAAAATAGGGGTCATGTTGGGAAATGATGGGGGATTAGCCTTTCCTATATTTGTAGCAGGTGATTTAACAAAAATTGAAGTAGCCATGGTTGTATAACACTGAGAATAACATACTACTGTACCCATGGTGATTTTGCCTGTTGAGGCAAAAGCAACACTAAACTACCTGTGGTGGCATTGGCAAGAGCTGAAAGTCCATGAGGCACATTGTACATTTCTCATTTCTGATCTGCAAATGTAGCTCATATAGTGAAATATTTGTTTTGTTAGTGGGAACCAATGGTGCAAGCAGCATTGGATAATGGGGAATTGACTGTGGAGAACAAAAATGCATTAAACAGACAACTATGCACATCTCTATATGCATGTACAGATAAAGTAACAAAGTCCGAGAGAGACCATGTAGCAATGAGGCTTGTTAAAAAGTATCCTTGCTTGAAAAGTCCTGTTGGAGCTGGCCATGTAAGTACTAATAATATATTACTTAATTTTTTCTTAGTTCTTTTGCATGTCAGTTGACCTTAATGTTAAAATAATGAGAGGATTTAGAAGGCCGGCAAACTTCAAAGTAATATGTGACCTTCTTCATAACATATTATACAAAGTAAATGCTTTACCCCCAGGAAAACAATATAACTAAAACCACAACAACAACAACAACAACAACAATTTTTATTCCAACCATAAAAGTAATTTACAATATGAATATATATTGGCTAGGTTGGTATTGGTAAAAACCTAGAAAAACCATACGGGCTTATCAAGCTAGGCAACCAAATACTCAGAGACAGTAAAAATCCTTGGACTAATTAAATAAATTTTATCGGTCGGTCGGAATAGTGTACAGAATACTACACAAAAAACAAAACAAAAAAAAAACACTAGTGGAATCTTCCTTGCGCATAAATATTTTCCCCTGGGAGGTCCAAATGTTCTTGAAGTGACGATCCTTCTTTGCTTGTAGAGCTTTACTAAATAACACTTTATTTGCTCTTGTCAGGCTCTCTGCAATGAACATTCTTTCACCGGTATTGAGATTAAGATTTAGGTCATTAACAGTTTTCCCTCGAAGTATATTTCGTGCTCGGTAGAATTCTTCGCGTTTCTTGCGTCTAACAAACTTAACAATAATAGTAGGATTCATTGGTCATCTTTTATAACTGCTTCGAGTCTCCATTTGCGCCGGCATGTTATTACAGGCAAACAATGACAGATCGAAATGTCATCTGAGCATAATTCAACACCAATACAATCTGCTACTTGCTTTACAATGTCTTCTGTATTCTCTCTTGAAGTGTCTCTACTTATTACATGTATACCACGTAACTCCAGACATTCCCTACGAGAATATTGCTCAAGATCATTTAGAGCTGCTTGATACGTGTGTAGACAATCTTTGGCGACTTTTAGGTCCGATTTTAGCTTTACGATCTCCTTATCGGAAACTTTCTT